CATAATATATAATAAGATAAAATATCATAATATAATATAAGATATAAACTCTGCAAACGAATTGATAATTCAAAATACAAGTGTACATAGAGAAAAGCTGAGGGTTAATACATCTCTAAATGGGTCACAAAAGGTCAACATGTTAATTTTTTTTATTCTAAAGTATTTCTGGGGCTATATTTCCATCACTTGTTAGGATTTTTAAACAGTATGAAGTGATTTAGATCAGCTATTGAAGTCACACACAGCAGGTTTCTGACAGGCTGCTGATGGTAGCTGCTTTATATTGGGTCAGATTTAAAGTCACATTTCTGCATATTTATGATTTAAAAGTAAATTCAAGTTGAGGTAACTGATTGACCTCCTGCTCACGCCTCCTCCTCCTCCTGCACCTTAACGTGGTTCATTTCAGACGATTAAAACACCTCCATGGCAGGAGTCCTTTAACTCAGAGCACTTTGTCGGTTGAACATAACTGCATTAAAAGTTGTCAAAACTCAGAACAGATTGATGCAAATTGTTGTGACGCTTTTTGTTGAGCCCAAACTTTTTTTTTTAAGAGTGTAAATGATCAATTCTGCCAATAATTTGATTTATAATTAACAATAAGCTGCTGCACATAAAAAGGCCGGGAAGTAGGTTACAAAAAGGTCCACATGTAAAATATGACCATGTACAACGCACTTCCGCTTCCTGCTGATCACCTGAAGACATTCTCACATTCTGAGATCCAGACTTTGCTCCACAGGATAAAGACTCAGTAAAGAGCCCAGATTCCTGCAGCATAATTATAAAACCTGCTTCTGTGGAGAAACTCTGAGTGTGGTGATAATAAAAACAAAGCGTTTCCCTCGTGGGGGGACGCTGTGGGTGCTCTCACGCAGCCTGTCGCACTGTGACCGCTGCAGCCGCTGCTCAGTCCCGGTGCGGCTCCTGCAGTCCCTTTGCACACTTTTCACTTTAATGCAGGACTATAGCTTATCCCCTCCTCCTCCCCCTCTGACTCCTGTGTGTGTGTGTGTGTGTGTGTGCGCGCGCGCGCGCACGGCCTCCCTCCTCGCCCCCGCGCAGGAATGTTGGCTGGGTGCGCGGCTCCCCGGCCCGGAGGAGAGGCGAGCCGCGGCCCTCTATCCGCACCGGCGCTATAAATCACAGGCTCCCCTCGCTGCTCCCCTCTCCCTCCAGCCTCCGTGTTTTTGCACCAGACAGAGGAATCCTGCGCTTAATTAATTTAGAATGTGTAAATAAAGCGAGGACAGTGAACTCCCCATCATCTCTGGAAACACAATATTAACTTTGGAAGATCTTCGGCCCGCCGGCTCTGACACACTAAACGAGCACCTGCTGCAGAAAATAAAGATGCGGGCGCGCACGCGTGCACGCACACTGTAGGAGTGTGCTATTAATGACTGCACATATTGGGCTGCAGGGATCACCGGAACATGATAGCAGGTGATGCTGCTGCGCCGTCAGGCCTGCTGAAGCAGACCGGGGGTGTGTGTTTACCGTAAAGTCTGCCTGGTGTCGCTTTACGGCATTAAAGAAATAATGTAGATGGACAAACACCTTTTCAGTTCTCCTATCTTAATTTTCTTCCCTCCTTTTTAGAACCATGTAGTTAAAATATGGCTTTAGAGGCGCTCTGCGTAATTTGGCACACCTGACTTTACTGACTTTTGGCACCACAGCGCGCTCTGACTGACACATAGGTGCAGCTACACCTGCATGCGCGCTCACACAGGTCACTCAGGGTGTCTGCAGGTGAGTCAGGTCATCTGATCTGACGCCAAATTACGCACGAACTCACAAATTAAGCGATAAAGACAATCTGCTGCATGACGCACAGGCCTAACGGTCCATTAACGACAATCAGAAACAATGAATCGGCCCAAAACGTCCAGAACACATCCAGAGGAAGTCCAAGAAAATATAGACAGTATTTTATTTGTTAGTGTAGAGACGAGGCTTCAGGCTGCTCACCTGCCAAAATGACACAATGTCCAGCTCTGGGTTTCTCAGGAAGCATTTTGGTAAAAATAATAAATAAATAAATAAAATAAAAAATATAAAATAGTAGGATAGTTTTTGTGATGCAATCAGGGGAAGTCAGATGCAGGCTGCTCTGTGGGGTCACCTTGTCCCTCAATCTAAAATAATAATAATAATAATAATAATAATGTGTGTCTCAGCAGCACATCAGGAGCATCTGAATGCATTTTTATTTATTTTATTTTTTATGAGTTATGGCAACTTCTAATGAAATTATGTTCCCCCAACAAACTGCAGCAAGTCACTGAATTAGCTTCACCTCTGTAATTAAATGGGTTTTTAACTACCGTCCTAACTGTCTATAG